TTTTTTGGACCGATCCAATTGGACATATTCCAGTCTGTCCAATTAAAAACTGGACTAGTCCACTGCCCAATAAAAAAATGGACGATTTGCAAAAAAATTGGAACTAAAATGGAATATGTCCAACTGTCCAGTCCAGTTTGTTCTAGTTTTTGAAACTGGACATAGTCCAGTGCCCAACACTGATTGCGAGTGTCATATGATATTACTCCCTCGAGGCTAAGTGTCAAGTGACCCTTTACATATATACTTGTTATGATACTGCTCCTATTAGGTCAGGGACCCATAAAATTCTTTCGATTTGAGCCGCGATCACATGATAAAAATTATATCCAAAAATTTCGATCTTTGAAAAAATAAAAATAAATAAGATCATTTATTAAATATGTTTGGCCAATGCTTATATAAAAATAAAACAGATTATATATTGCTGAATCTATGTAAATATGTTTAAGCTAATGCCTATATCAAAAAATAAATTAGAGGCGTGATCATTTTTTTAGAATCTATATATATGTAAATATGCATAGCGTCAGCCAATAATATTATTCAATCAATCTGCATTGGTATCCCTCCTCATTTAAATCTAAATCATCAAATTGATCTTTAAGCCAATTTGGTCAAGAAGAATTCGCTCTAACCTTTTCTTGAATGATCTTTATTTCTTTATCAGTAAATTTTCCAAAAGACAATGGTGAGATTCTCCTAATTTCTTTGATCTCGACTCTTCCTAAACCTTCCGTTTTGAATATATTGTAAATATTTTTAGCTAACCATTTTTTCTTGTTAAAAATATTATGAGATATGTTAGAAGAAAATTGTCGCTTAATTTCTGCATTAAGCAAGATTCACGTGGTTTGAAGAGGGTGAATGGATGTAAATTCAGCCAATTTCTTCTCCAATGCTTCCCTGAGAGGATAGTGTGAGTCAAGAATTTCATATTCTATGCAGGATACTTCACGTGTTTTTTCTTTAAGAATCTTTTCAGCATCAAGTATTTTATTGTGTAATTTGATGAACGCCATATCTGGAGTTGTGGGGTTCTTCATTTTCACATTTGTCACCAGCAACGGATTAAAGTCTTGTGGTCTGTTGGATAACTCTTTAAAAAATTTTTTAACCCTATCTTTTTCTTCTTGAGGATTTAACCTTGCATCATCATCCTCACCAAGATAAATAGGTCATTGACAACGAGAACATGTTATATATTTTTTTAAAGAAATAATAATACATCTAAAATGGAAGCTATGAAGACAGGACAATCTCACGACTGGTTCCAGGTTAACTTCATCAAGTTCGAATAATGGATTGAGTTCATTACAGAAAGAACATGTTTCAGATCCTCCTTGAGCGGATTTCTTTTGAGAATTGATAGGTGCGGTGAGTTGAATAGTATGATAAGGGATACTTCTGTCGGGTATATCCTCATCAAATATTTCTTCTTCAATGGCCAATGGAGGGATGTTATTAGATCTTTCTGATTCCATTAGTATTTTTTGAGATGCGATTTATGGAAAAAATGTTATTATAAGCGAAAGGAGGGAGTTTTTATACTTTCTGAATACTCTACTCGTAATCACGAAATTGTAATAACTGGAACTTGCTAGAAGAAATACTCTTATTAGTCTTTTAAATAACAAAGGTCTTTATTATCAACTGAAAATACGTAATGAGGTATTTTTGCCTAGACTTGAGCGGAAACTTTAGCATCAGACCTAAGATCTAAATTCATGTGATCACAGATATATAGTTTACTCGTATTACATATACTTTACTTTATCAAAATATAATAAAAAATTTTATTGATTATTAAAAATATATATGTACTAAAGGTATCTTAATATTACATATGTGTCTTTGTATTCTACTGCTAGTTATGAAAAAAATAGCTAGGTTTATTAGCAAATAACGCTATTGATATATTGTTCACTATTAAAAACTAATTCTCGCACTTGAAATCAGCACCAGCGTAATTAATAGTTATATTGATGATATTGGTGCTTTGAGAAAAAGAAGAGAGGGTAGGTGTAATTGGTTTAGAAATTGCATATGTTTCGAAAGATAGTGTGATTGATCTTGAGGTAATAGGGGAATTTTTGACAGTTTTAGACGTTCTCTTGGATGATAATGCGGCCTCATTCCTGTTGCTCGTCTGACCTTCCACCATAATTAATGGTAACATTAATCACATTCGCATTTTGTGAAAAAGAAGAGATAGTTGAGGTTACGGGTCTGGAGATATTAGATCTTTCAACAGTTAGTGTTATTGGTTTTGACGTGGTGAGTGATGATGTCTTAAGAGAACTTGCACTACTTGACCTAACATTTTCGTCATATATCTGCTCGAATAGAAGTTCTAGTGAATGATGATGAATAGAATCGTGTTAATTTAAAGATAATCACTAGCTTATTTTCTACAGAAACATACTTAGTTTTAACTAGAACATTGTTGAGAACTCTTCGTAAATTTCTTCGCCAACTAAACTTCTTTTCGATCCAGTACTTTCTTTATATTTTTCACTGTCTAAAATAATAATATGCATTATTGACCGGTCAGGGTTAGCAAAGCTAACTAAGCAGGACACTACTTACATAAAAAGCTTTCGTAAGACCTAAAAATTTTTTATGGCAGGCGTCACTAGTGAAGTAATTAGTATTTTCTTGATCATTTATTCTTTCTGCAATCTTGTTTCAAAAGAGATACTTCTTTTTATTTGTAGTAGTGTGATACTCCACATTTCTATTTTTTCATTCGTCAATAAAGATGTGAAGCTGGACATTAGAGAACTCCATAGTTGACTACATAGTGAGAAGATTCTCTAGGGACTATTATATAAAAAAATATTGAGTGATGTGTTAGAATCATTGCAAGGCAAATTAATCGATCAATATAATGATTAATCAAATAATAACGGTAGCTTAGCTATCATGTCAATAGATCAAGGATGGTGAAATCTGATTGACTGATCATTTCATGATTTATAGATACTTGCTAACGCCTAGAACATTCCTAAAACTATCGAGGAACTGGCAGAGATTTAGGGTGATACATGTGATATACGTCATGCCTCAAACTGATTTAGCCAGACACTTGTGCATATGCATGTAAATATAATTAGCTTAGCTCAAGATATGACCCTATATAAATCCTGTAATCAAATAAAAAAAATGAATCTGATATTTTATTATAATATACTTGCTACAAACTGCTATAACAAAAAATATTTGCTAAAAACGCTATATATCACTAAAATTACTATAAGTCTTATTTATTGTCTGTAATCACATATAATCATCAAATATGTCTAATGCAATGGTTAAGATCATATTAGATAAGATTTATAATAAAACTATACCCAAACCTATCAATCTCCACCCTGGATATGATATGGAACATGTTTTTAACTATCGACCTCAAACTGATAACTATCGGTATAAAAAAGTGGTTGAAATAGAAAACAATATAATCATTTATCCATTATTAGACCTCACGAAACACCTTAGCAATGGGCTATTCGTATAAGAACTCCTTTACAAGAACTACTTTCTAAGCGAAAATATAGTTTATACTATATGTACTGCCTTTTCAGTTCATTTGGGCAAGTAGAATCTAAAACATATTATATTAATAGTAAGTTATATGAAGATCACTTCCAATATCGTAGACCTAGTATTCATAAAAGTCAAATGGCTATTTGCTTCAAATGCTGGAAATTGATAAAGATTACTGAAGTAGAGCCTAGAAAGGAATATTATAGTGGCTAGGGGAGATGGGCCTATGAAGTTGAGTCTAAAGATTTGATGAAAAATCATTGAAATTACTTTTGCTTCAAAGTTAAATCTGTAACTATAGTAAAAAATACTATAGCAAGTGCTCCTGTTACCTCTGATAACTAAGAAATAATTTCACCAACCTCTAGTAAAATATTTATCTCGTCTCTATATGCAAAATAGCCAAAAGGCACTGTATTGAGATTGGAGAATGGAACAGAAATTACAGTGGTTTAACTAACTGATTCTGACTATTACTTTTGACTGAATAATAACATTATTTATCTCAACTATATTCATAAATTATTTTTTGCGACTATATAATCTACATGTAATGAAATTACAACTGAAGGTGTAATCATATCACATGCAGACGCTATGTATAATCTGCCTATTCTGGATTAAATCTTCTAATCTATTTTAATAAAATATTTTTCGAGAAGTTTAGGAAGATCAATGAAGCGATCTTGGAGATTCTTGATTGCTAGACAATATAACTATCAGTTTGAAAATTTCTATGCGACAGTTATCCAGCAAGCTTATAGGAATTACAAGAAAAGATCTGAATCTTTAGCAAAACGAATTTGGAAGGTAGTGCAGAATGATGGTATTCCTGACAATAAGAAGTATTTAGGTATGAAAATAAAGGATATAATCCTTTAGGACAAATTTGGTATGAGAAATATTGTTCTTCAGTGAAAAATGGATGGATATTTGAGAAGAAAGCCTAATTATGAATACGATTAGATATAGTATCACACATACTTGTTGAAAAATTATTATATCAGTAAGGATATACACTTGTTAGAGATGCATATTAGATCAACATATTAAAATGACCACGAAATCCTGAATATTATTATATTAATAAAAAATATAACTTTAAATACTTCATCAAAATTTTAGATTGTAAGAGATATAGTGATAAATTGATAGAAGTACAACATATATATGATTCACAGTTATTAAAAAAATATGATATTCTAGGAAAGAATCTTACCGTAAATTTCTCAGATTTGGATGATAATAGTGAGATCGTGCGCCGAATTTTCCAGATCAGTGCTTGATCCAAATCCCGAATATTATATTAATAAAATAATATACTGTTCAGCTATGCGAAGCGTCTCAAGACCAATGCATAAAAGTATGTGTGACATAAATATAATGTGTTTCTGATTTTCATTAAAGTATATATGATGTAATAGGTGATACTCCACAAATCATCTGTGAAACTATGCTTGTGCGATAAAATAATTTCACACATAAACCGATTTCACAAAATATTTCAAATTTTTCCTTGCAACATTTAGCGAAATAAGATTTAGCAGAATAATATTTACTAATATGAATATTTGCTCTGGAGGGACAAAATATTCTGAATAGAATAATATCTATGACGTTGTCAGGTCTTAGTATTAAACGGTTAGGCAAGTGAAATAAAAAAGTATGTATATGTATATTTCCCCAACGCCTTTGAAAATGTTGAGATCTTCAATGCACATTCTACATGTCCTTATTCTCAAACACAAAATTTTAGTGTAAAGGTTTGTTGCATATTCTCCCGCTTCGACCTCAACATAAACTCGAACTCAGAGAAGACGTGAATGGGAAATTGCAAACTATTTAAAAGGAAAGTATATGAAATTTCAAATTATAGTTGCTTATTTTTTACCAGGCGTGTACTAACAAAAACTTTTATATCTTAAATTAGTAAATTATGTCTAGCTCATCAGCTGAAATGTTCGCTCTATTATACAACTTTTTAAAATCCTTTTCCTTAGATAAAATAACCATTTCTAATATAATTACCTAGCAATAGAATTGTTTTAAAATTCAATCAGAAAATGAAGACTTTGACTGTCTTATGGAGATCCTAAAGAGTGTAGAGAATGAAGTTAATGATGAAGACCGTAAACAACATCTTAAGTCATTATAGAATATTAACCAAGTAATTTATATTATTTTTGTTCTTTGCACACTAGGAATAATATGATGAATATGTTGTCTAGACAAAATAAGTATAGTGCGATTGAAAAGAGATATATTGTCAGCGAGAATCTCTTTATTATACTTATAACGATGATTTTTTTAAGATAATAATGCCAGCTAATTCTGATTAGGATGGGATTTTGCGCAAAAATAAAATAATGATGTTTTCCTGAATTTTATTAACCTATCCATTTATTTTTTAGATGCGATTCATTAGAAATGAGCTAGTTTCATTAAAAGATATGGGGTTTTTACAAGAAAAATTCAAAGAAGAAGTAAATTGGAAAACTTTAGCCTTAAATAATATAACTCTTTTGAAAGATAAGATTAAGGTAATCAATATATATCAGAAATTTCGATCCTGTATTTTTTTGAACTTTTCCTATAAAATATTTTTTTTTCAATTGAATTTAGAAAAAAGATACATCAGCGCACAAACATATTCTTACGACAATAAGTAATATTGATATTAATAAAATATCAAACGATGATCTGCTGTGTATCGGTGTAATAGATCTTAGTTCAGAAAAATATAATCTACCAGAAAGTAGTTACAAATCCCTTGTTATATGTATACCTTTATTTTTTCCTTGATGAATTAGCTACTAAAATTACATTTTCATGTATTAATTACTTCTTATATTTATAGGGAGAGAAAGCTAATATAAGAAACTTAAGCAAAGATGCGGGAGTAAAAAAAATATGCAACGAATTTATATCAAAGAGGAATGAAGTTCATAAATTACGAAAATGTGTTACCTTTGAGAGATATTGTAACGCATGATCAATGGATTAAAGATAAACATATCAAGGAACACATAGCTGGTGGAATTGCTGATATACTTTTACAGGAGATTAAGTTAAACGCACTTCAAAGAGTTTCTGAAGGATCTGAAAATATGTTAGTAGAAATCATTGCTCAATTAATAAACATGGCTATATATTATTTACCTGTAGACTACGAGGTTGAAGTTACTAGGGCTGAGCGTCAAAGTAAAGCTAGCAAAAACCGCAAAGTTCAGCAAAAAACTGGATCAAGAGGAGATAAACCTGATCTCATGTTCTGTGCTTATCTTCGTCAAAAGTGGGAGGAAATCATTTTCTTTGAAAGTGAAAAATGGGATATTGATGAGGATAAAATCTGTTATGACCATAATAAATTAGTTCAACTCTATTTGGATAGTACTAAAGAACTTGTAAAGAAATGTACAAAAGAAACATTCTATCAAAATTATATAGGATTCAGGGTTAATATTACAGGTAAGTATCTAGAGATCCATGGTTTAATAATGGAAAAAGAGGTAAAATACCATCTTCCAGTCATTAAAGCAAAAATACCCCTCAATAAAGAGTCAGTTGAGGAAATCGAAGAGTTTGTTTATGCTCTATTAGTTTTGCGAGTAAGTG